TCAAATTCACTAGAGAGAGAAATATGATCCTGTTTCAGTAATTTATATTTCTCACTAACTATTTTAAGTTAATCATACAAATCATGAAATGTATCAAGTAATTCATTATAAGGTAAAGACGTTTCAGTTGAGTCACATACCTCATTACTGAAAGCTATCAATACATAGTTCGCCACCTCATCTTCATTGGTTTGCTCTTCATTTTCTGACGCACTTGATTCGTCCCAAGTTGTCTTGAGTGCTTTCTTCTTCTTTTGTACTATTAGCTTCTTCTTCAGTTATGGATACTCATTTTTGAAGTATCTTGGCTTTTTACATTCATAGCAAATGATTATGTTCTTTTTTAGTTCATTTTTATTTTTAGAGTCTTGTTTTATAGGATTTGTTTTGTTTCTTTTTATGAACATTTTAAATTTTCTTGTGATGAGTGTCAAGTCATCATCATCGCTTGAGTTTTCACTCGAATGGTCTTCTTTAGTTCTAAGTTCAATATCCTTCTTGTTCTTTGGAAGGTTGTCCTCATATTCGTCATGTGCCTTGCAAGACATTTCATAGGTCATTAATAATCATATGAGTTCTTCAAGATAAAAGTTATTCAAGTTTTTTATGTCTTCAATTACAATTACCTTTAAATCCCAGCTTTTTAGAATGGATCTTAAAATTTTATTAACTAGTTCAAGATTAGTATAACATTTACCAAGAGCTTTCATACCATTAACAACATCCGTAAAACAAGTATATATGTTACCAATGATTTCATTTGGTTTTATTCTTAATAATTCATAACTATATACAAAAAATTAATCTTAGATTCTTTTACTCTACTAATGCCTTTATGAGTAACTTCAAATGTGTGTCAAATATCATGTGTAATTTCGCATATAGAAACATGATTAAACTTATTTTTGTCTAAAGCACAAAATAAAGCATTCACAGCTTTAGCATTTAAAGAAAATATTTTTTTCTCTAGTTTATTACATTCATTCATTGGTCTATAAAATTTTTGAAAACCACATTCAATGATATTTCACAAATCAAAATCCATAAAAATCAAGAAAATATGCATTCATGTCTTCCAATAAGTGTAATTTGTCCCACTAAATATACGAGGACGAATGATAGAGTAACCCTCTTGATTGCCAAAGAAAGTAATTTAGTCTCTCTTAGGTGTTAAACCAACTAAGAAAACTTAGCTTTGATACTAATTGTTAGGATCGTAAAGGCACTAGGAGGAAGAGGTAAATTAGTGCTTTCAAAAAATTTGGATTTGAAAGCTTGATCAATGAACTCGTATCAAAAATGTGATTGGAAAAAAGTATGAGTAAAGATTGCTTAATAATTAAATTAGTATACAATAGTAAATTAAGAAAAAAGAAGAAATGTAAATTGATTTACAATGGTTCGGTTGTCCTAACCTATATTCACTCTCGATTTCTCTTCCTTCGAAGTCATTAGCTTTGACTACCAATCTTCTTTCAATAGGTGAAGATCAACTACCCTTGTTATAACTCTTTCTCTTTTTCATAGGTTTAAGAGAGAAACCTTATACCCCTCTTTTATAAAAGAACTCTTACCTCCCTTAGAATAACTCTTACCTCCCTAAGAGAGAAACTCAATACTTTTCAAGAGTTTACAACACTTTAATATTATAAACTTTTTATACTCTTATAAGCAAGTATGAGAGGGATATCTATAGGCCCTAAATAACTTCAGAAATAGAGCCAAAAATTTAAATCCTCGAGTTTTCAGGGTACTAGCGATACCACCGCCTACATTAGGTGATACCACCGCCTAACATAGTCTGGGAGGTTGTGTTCTTACGGTACCATCACTAGTCTAGATGGTACCATCGTCTGACCTTAGGCGATACTACCGTTGACCCTGGCAGTACCATCATCGGGTTTCTCAGAGAAATACATTCCATACTTTCCAACTCATAGGCGGTTCTACCGCTTAGCCTAGTGGTGCTACTACCTGGCCCAACCTCATGTCATTGAATTGGCCTTCTAATAGGCCCAATTTAACCTTGATTTAGGCCCAATGGGTTCCTAATTAAGTTGACATGATTACACCCAAAACCAACTCAATTAGACACTTAAACTACTTCGATTAAGATAAAATGATTACAAAGATGAAGCTTATGTTGTCCGGCATGTCATTAGTTGATCTGGTACTTCGTCCGAACTTCCTGTGCATCGTCCTTTCCTTCGACTTATTTCTCGATCCATCGACATGTGACCTCTTGCAACATCCAATTTTCTTGGTGCAATGCCCGATCCTTTTGGCTCGATGCCTGATCTCTGACATTATAAACTCCGGCCCAACGTCTGATTCTCCTACATCAATCGATATATCTTTCCATGATCGAAATTTATCCTGCATCACGTTTCTCAAATGCTCATTGGTTCATAGATTCATTAATTGATTTCATCATCAAAATTTCGGATTCAACAATAAGGAGATTTTAAGTGAGTCACATACCTCGTCATTGAAAGCTATCAGTGCATAGTTTTCCACTTCGTCTTCATTGGTTTGCTATTCATCTTATGATGCACTAGATTCATCCTATGTTACCTTGAATGTTTTCTTCTTCTTTGACAACTTCTTCTTTAATTGTGGATACTCATTTTTAAAGGACCATAGTTTTTTTCATTCATAATAAATTATTACATCATTTTTAAGTTTATTTTTATTCTTAGATTCTCGTTTTGTAGAATTACTCTTATTCTTTTTCATAAACTTTTTAAATCTCCTTGTAAAGAGTGTTATGTCATCATCATCACTTTAGCTTTCGCTCAAGTGGTATTCTTTGGTTCTAAGTGCAATATCCTTCTTATTCTTTGGAAGGTTTTTCTCGTGTTCGTCATGTACCTTGCAAGTCATTTCATAGGTTATTAATGATCCTATGAGTTCTTCAAGAGGAAAGTTGTTCAAGTCCTTTGCTTCTTGAATTATAGTTATTTTTGGATCCCAACTTTTTAAAAAATATCTTAAAATTCTATTAACTAGTTCAAGATTAGTATAACATTTACCAAAAGCTTTCAAACCATTGATAACATCTATAAAATGGGTGTACATATTACCAATGGTTTTGCTTGACTTCATTCTAAATAATTCATAACTATATACTAAAAGATCAATCTTATATTCTTTTACTCTATTTGTACCTTCATGAGTAACTTCAAGTGTATGCCAAATATCATATGTAGTTTCATATATAGAAGCACAATTTAACTCATTTTTGTCTAAAGCACAAAATAAAGTGTTCATAGCTTTAGCATTAAAAAAAAATATTTTCTTCTCAAGATCATTCCATTCATTTATTGGTTTAGAGGATTTTT